CAGACTCCCTGCCGAGCAGGGAGCCCGATGCGGGACTCCAGGATCATGACCTGAGCCGAAGGCAGTCGCTTAACCAACTGAGCCACCCAGGCGCCCCAGTTTCTAATTCTTAAGAGTTGAAAAATGCAGTGGTATTTAAAAACAAATCAAGCCAAAAAACAACAGTCAAGTCAAGGTCTCAATTTTTAGTGTTACTTAGATGGTTATTTTATTGTTTTGGGTTTTTGTTTTGTGTTGTTGTTTTTAAAGGTTTTTACTTATTTATTTGAGAGAGTGAGCTAACAGAGAGAGCACAAGGGGGGGAGGCAGAGGAAACAGACTCCCCTCTGAGCAGGGAGCCCAGTGTGGGGCCCGATCCCAGGACCCCAGGATCACAACCTGAGCTGAAGGCAGACATTTAACTGACTGAGCCACCCAGGCACCCCATGGGTTTTTTTGTTTTGTTTTGTTTTTTAAGTATAGTTGACACACAACATTACATTAATTTGAGGTTTACCACATAGTGATTCCACAAGTCTATATGCTATGCTATGCATTATGTTATGTTCACAAGTGTAGCCACCATCTGTCACCATATGAAGCTATTACAATGCCAGGGACGATATTTCCATGCTGTACCTTCTAACCCCATGAGTTATTCTAGAAGCCTGTACCTCCCACTCCTCTTCACCCATCTTCCTACCCCCTTCCCCTCTGGCATCCATGAGTTTGTTTTCTGGATTTATGGATCTGTTGATCTTTTACTGTTTTGATTTTACCCTGTCCCAGTTTGACTCACTCACCTTCTCATTCCATATGCCTTCACTGTCTGTATTTTATTTACAGCAATTACCCTTCACCTAGATTATAGCAGATTTCCTTATTTTCCTCCCCCATGAGAATTTAAGACACAAGTGGTTCAGAATTTTCCTTTTTTAAAAGCACTTTACCTTTGTAGCTGCATGTAGTAGGAATTACCGCCTAAACAAAGGCATAGCTGAACATGTTGCAACAGAAACCACATGGCTGGAAAAGCCTAAATGATGTACTATCTGACCTTTGTATACAGCTTTCTGACCCCCACTCTAGGTTGTTACTCATGTTGAATAACAGCCATAATCATATCGTAAGGTGTATGTATGTCCAGAAATGCAGCTACTAGGACTTTAGGCTTTGAAGGCAAGCCGACTTACAACATTCAAATTGGGTAACATTGAGTGTGTTCTTGACTGTCCTTTTAGCTTTCCCCATACTGATTATAATATCTACTTGGGAGATTTTTATGAGAAACAAATAAGCTAATGGTTGGAAATCTCTGTGTAAAGTATTTCACACATCAGGGATGCTCAGTAGTACACTGTATTGTTAAGATTGACTTGAGGCTGTTGTGGGCTTTGATGGCTTTAAAATATCACCTGACACACAGCAGTGGAAGAGTTGATTGAATTTGTCTGTGGATGAAAATTTGTTGTGAGACATTAGACACTAGTGTACTGAGAAACTAGGAGACCCAGTGCAGCTTTACTTACTGACCTCACAAGAAGTGTGTTCCCATTCTGGAGCCTTCCAGTTGTGCTGCTGTTTATTATTCAGGCAAATTGCAGCCCCTGTATGGCAGTGAGGTAGCCTATATTCACACCTCTGCACGCAGAAGCCAGTGAAATGATGCACTTTCTCAAAGGCCAGGCTTCCTGGGGATCCTGCAGGCCAATGGAATCCATGTTCAGGGGCTGGGCAGTTATGCTTGTCTGCATGCCAAAGGGTGTGGAATGCTTATTGTGTGTAGAGACCCAAGAGGCTGGTGTATAAATCAGTGCCTCTGGATTTTCAGACAGTGGGAACAAATTTCTGGAGGAAAGTGCTGCCTGATCCTTTATGAATTTTATGATCTCAGCAAATTCACAGGCAAACCCTTCTGGACTTCACTTAATTCACTTCTACATGGAACTCATAACTGCTTCTTCACAGGCAGAAAGAACCAGGGCACACTTTTCTGGGACAGACAAGGCTGTTCTGGCATCTTGGGATGTCAGTCTGTGTGTTGAGGAAGAGCCATCACCCAGAACTGGTGGTTGTCAGCACCCACACCATGAATGCAGGCCCTGTGGTGAGGTCTGAACTCCTGCCTAGCTCCAGTTTGTCAGTACACTGCCTGTCTCCTAGAGAGAATGTAGGAAGGGAAGGATTGCTGTTTCATAGAAAAACAGAAGACAGATAAGTAAATATTAATGCCTCTCAAAAGAATATTATTCCACTAGGTGGACCTGCCAGTTTATAGTGCATTGGAGTTCAAGGAAATATATCTATCTCAGGGCCTGGGTTGAAGGTTGGGCATAAGCAGGCCCCTTAAGAATCAAATTGTTGGTGAGCAGAAAAGCAGGAAATGCTCTCAGACCCTCAACATGTTTTCATTCATTAAAACCTCATCTAGGTCCAACGTTGGCTTCATGTGCTGAGGCCTGTAGAGGACAGTGAAGAAAGAGAAGAAATCCTTTTCATCACAGGAACTGATGTTTTTAAAGAGGAAATCCTTGTTTTATTTGTATAGTATTTCTTTCTTATCTCCAATATATTGTGGACTGTTCTGGACCCTTTGGATGGAGGGAAAGAGTGAAAACAGTCACAAACTGTGGCAGGATGAAATCATTAGAGATGCTGTTAAATCTATAAGGCCAGCTGGCATCCCTGAGGATGTGAGTGTTTAATACAGGGGAGGAGATAGGATGACAAAGCCCAAGAGTAGATGGGGGGCCGCAGAACTATGTGTCAGCTTGCTGTGAATCAAGTCCTGGTTCCCCGGTCAGCCTCCTCCTTCCTCCTGCACACACTGGTGGAGAATGGTACCTTGTTGAACCAGAATTTGTGGGATGTTTCAGGACTCAGTGGTTTTTGAGGATGTGGTTGTGGACTTCACCCCGGAGGAGTGGGCTTTGCTGGATCCTGGTCAGAGGAGGCTCTACAAAGATGTGATGCTGGAGACCTGCAGGAACCTGGCCTCACTGGGTAAGCATGGCTCCACCCCTTCACTTACCTGCAAGCTATTGAGCTTGTTCCAAAACTTGAGCTGAACAATGGGAATTAATTGCTAAGGAAGACAGACAGACATGGTCACAGTACTAGAGCATATAGTCTAATAACTTTCTACTGTACATATTTGAACCGCTACTTTCTCTCTTAAATGCTTTTAGCCTCTGTAAAGATTATAACTCTGTGCCTTAAGAGGAGCAAGCATTACAATTGGAAATATTAATAAAAAAAATTACTCTTCTTCCTGAGGAAGTTGAATTTTGTCAGATACCTTAGTGTCTTTTTTTTTTTTTTTTTTACTTTTCATCCATCCTCACAAAGGTCCTTGTTCACACTGAAAAACCTTCCATATTTTCTCTTTTAAAGTTAGTATTGAGCATGTGCATTTTGTCCAATTCCTTCCCATGTTGCTTTTCTGACAATAGGGCATTTATGTCATCAGAAGTCTCAATCTTCATGGAAGCATTTCCAGTAAATTGCCCACCATTTTGGCCTCTTGTCCTTATTGTTGTCAATGTCCTGACATAGACAAAACTCTTCAAAGTTTGTTGTGTTTTTTTGCTCAAAAGTACATTCTTCCTTATAATATTTGTTTAATTTTTGGATCACTATTTGAAAAGAAATGAATGTTTCCAATTTATCTTTTTTGCCTTCATCTCACCAGTTCTTTCCAAAGAAAGTAAGTAAATTTTGTTGCTATTTTTCATATTATGACACTGAAAATCAGTAGGTCGAATCCTCTATAGCATATGTTTAGGGAAGAAATATGACATGAATGGAATATAATAAGATTCAGAAGAAATATTCCTGGTTCCTCATTGTAGGTGAAAACTGGAAATGCCCTGGCATTGAACATCAGCACAAGAACGAGGGGACATGTATGAGGTGAGTGGCATAGACTTGAGAGAAAGCAGGTCTCAGGAGAGAGTCTGAGTATGCCATGATAGTAATGTATGTGTCTGTGTGTACATATGTAGGTATACATCAGATGTTAGGTATTCAGAGCATTTTTACCAGTTTTATAAAAGTGGTGCACATGTTGATTATTTGAGACAGTTCCACTGTAAACAGCTATCAGGAAACAAAATGCAGTATGTAAAAAACACTGAAATGGTACAAGGGCTTGAGCCCTCAGAGCATTCAGCTTATATACCACTTTAGAACAGTTCTGACGGGGCAGAAAATGTACACATTCACTGAAAATGGTAAAAATGTAATCCTATTAATCATTAAAAGCCATCAATGAATTGTTAGCTAATCATTGGTAACATGATGCCTATTTTCAACAGGTGTCATGTGGTGGGGATACCCTCAGAAAATAATGGAAGTAATCAATGTGGAGAAACCAATCAGATTTCAAATTTTATTGTGCATAAGAGACTTCCTACTGGAGTAAATTCCTGTGAATACATTAAGTTTGAAAAAGCCATCATAAATACTACACCCCTAAAGAGTCCCATAACATCATCTCAACATGGACAGAAACCCCATCAATGTAAGGAATGTGGGAAAACTTTTATTTGTTACTCATCATTTAGAGCACACGTAAGAGCTCACACTGAAAAGAAACCCTATACATGTAAAGAATGTGGAAAAGCCTTTATATACTTCTCCAAACTTAGGGTCCATATAAGAATCCACACTGGAGAGAAGCCTTATGAATGTGAAAAGTGTGGGAAAACCTTCAGATCTCCCTCAAACCTCTGGACACATAGGGAGACTCATACTGTTGAGAAACTCTATGCCTGTAGAGAATGTGAGAAATCATTCTCTTCTCCCTCGTCTCTTAGAAAACATGCGAAGGTTCACAGCGCAGAGAAAGCCTATGAATGTAAGGAATGTGGGAAAGCCTTTCTTCATTCTTTTTACTTGATCATACATGCAAGAATGCACACTGGAGAGAAAGTCTATAAATGTGTGGAATGTGGGAAGGCCTACAGCTGGCCCTCTGACCTTAGGATTCACATGAGAACACACTCTGGAGAAAAGCCTTATGAATGTAAACAGTGCCAGAAATCCTTCAGTTCCCCCTCATCCTTTAAGGGACATCTGCGAACTCACACAGGAGAAAAACCGTATGCGTGTAATGAATGTGGGAAAGCCTTCAGCAGTCTCTCATACTTTAGAACACATGTGAGAATTCACACTGGAGAGAAACCCTATATATGTAAGCAATGTGGGAAAGCTTTCAGTTGGTCATCATCATTTCGAGGACATTTGAGAACTCATAGTAGAGAGAAACCCTGTAAGTGTAAGGAATGTGGTAAAATCTTCAGTAGACTCTCATCCCTACAAAGACATGTGAGAAATCACAGTGGGGAGAAACTCTAAATGTAAGCAGTGTGGGAAAGACTTCTGTAATCCCCTATCCTTAAAAAAAAAAAAGACAGGAACTCCCACAGGAGGGAAACCCTATGTCAGCAAATGTGGCAAAACCATGTAAATTAATATCACTTATTGTGTACAAAAATTGCTTACTATTAGAAAATTTTTATAAGCATCTTAGTTTTTTTTTTTTATAAGCATCTTATATTGTTGGCTTTATTAGTGCCTTATTCTTAAAATAGGCTCCTATCACATTATTTACAATTTTTTTTTAAGATTTTATATATTTGACAGAGAGAGAGAAAGCACAAGAAGGGGGAGCAGGAGAGGGAGAAGCAGGCTCCCTGCTGAGCAGGGAGCCCGATGTGGGGCTCAATCCCAGGACCCTGGGATCATGACCTGAGCTGAAGGCAGACACTTAACTGACTGAGCCACCCAGGTGCCCCACATTATTTACAATTCTTTCTGAGAAATACATTTAGGAGATAAATACTCCTTTAAGTATTACTTTGCCAAGGCAGCCCCAACAAATTGCCACAAAGTTGATAAAGAAACAGAAATTTATTCTCTTCCAGATCTGGAGGCTAGAAGTTGGAAATCAAGGTGTCATTAAGATTGGTTCCTTCTGGGGCTCCTGGGTGGCTAAGTTGGTTAAGCGTCCGACTCTTGATTTTGGCTCAGGTCATGATCTCAAGAGTTGTGAGATTGAGCCCCATGTGGAGCTCCATGCTGGGTGTGGAGCCTGCTTAAGATTCTCTCCCTCTCCCTCTGTTTCCCTACCCCTCCTCCTGCTCATGCTCTATTTAAAAAAATGTATATATATATATGTGTGTGTATATATATATATATGTATGTGTGTATGTATATATACACACACACGCACACACACACATAGGCACCTGGGTGGCTCAGTTGTTAAACGTCTGCCTTTGCCTCAGGTCATGGTTCCAGGGTCCTGGGATCAAGCCCCACATTGGGCTCCCTGCTCGGCAGGAAGCCTGCTTCTCCCTCTCCCACTCCCCCTGCTTGTGTTCCCTCTCTCTCTCTGTCAAATAAAATCTTAAAAT